TTGAGAACCATCTACGTGGTTACCAGCAACACGTTTTTTTAAACGCTCCAAATTAACAAGTGGGGTTTGCAACTTTTGAAAAAAATGTGTATCAGGCTACTAGTTTTTCACAGAGGCAGTTTTCTCTTTTTATAAAAATATCTGCAAGCTCAGGAGGTTCACGTGGCGCAAGGAAGATAAAAAGCTTGTCAACAACTGATAACAAAGGTCTGCAATGTGTTTGCATTGCAAATCAGAGCAAATCACTAAGTCAGCCTCTACAGTAGCAGAGAACACTGTCTCCGTATTTGCTGAAAAAAACCTATGGGAGGGCACAGAGTTGCCAGACAACACATGGCGTGGCCCTGTTGTCACAACCTGAGGTGGCTTTGCAGGAGTTGCCTCGCAGGCTGCGGCTTCACTGCTTCCAGGTGATGTGTTGTTGTTCGGTGGGAAAATTGCTCCATTCTGGGCTCCGGTGTCTGCATTTACATCACAGACCGCAGACCACTGTGTGGAGGATGCTGCTTATTAGGGAAGCATCTCTGGGCCTCCTCCCTGCTCTGCAACTCCTGCCCTGACTGCGACAAAGGCTGAGCTCCGATCCCGACGCACCTGGACGTTTTCAGGAGCCTTTCTTTCCATTTACTTGTTAAGATCAGTTACGAAATTGATGGCCCGAGAGAGAGGACATCCTAAATATACTGTAGGAGCACAATCAGCTCAAGAAGGGAGATTGAGGCCTAGGCTCTTAAAAGCAACCCTCTCCGGCCAGTTCGCCTCAGTCACTCCTGGTCACAGAGTTCTGTTTCCCTGTCACACGTCCCAGCATTTAGAATATGGAGACTGGATACCTGATGGGTCAGTTCCTTCAACCAAAGAGTAAGTAGGTCCTTGGCATGTTTGGCTTGAACTTTTGGACCAATAGCAAGTGACCTCGAGTGTCTTTTGCTTCAGGACAAATTTGAATCCCCTCAGGACGTGTGGTTTGTGTGTGGGACCTGTCACTCACTCGCTAGGGAATCAGCTCGGCAGATACTCCTGGATCTGCATCTGTGGCCCTGCCGCTCCTGTCACTGCAGTCACAGTGCCATGGAAATGCATGTGCCTGGTGGTATCCTCCATTTCTAGCGTTCATGCAGTTCTTCTGTCACATTTCTTGTTAAGATCAAGTGTCCAACACTAATATTTTCTCTCCTCTCATGATTCCAACAGTATTTTTGAACAGGTGGGTTACAGTTACATTGAAATTGTTGATAAATTGTGATAATTGATGTTGCCTTCCAGCCAGTGGTTAAACATTTTCCTTCCCTTCCTCTCCCCTTCCCTTCCTCCCCCCTTCCCTTCCTCCCCCCTTCCCTTCTCTTCCTCCCCTTACCTTACCTTACCTCACCTCACCTCACCTCACCTCACCTCACC